AAAAAAAAAAAAAAAAGAAATACGTGTAGAACTATGGCAAAGGTAAGCAAGCTGACGTTTAGAAGTGAAAAATTTTCATCCAAGAGTAACTGAGCCACTTCTGAAGTTGATATGACAAAACAACAAAGGAACTAGATTACAAAAAGGCTAATGAGAAAAAGCTGAAAAAATGCAGGGTGGTGGTTAGAAAATCAAAGGTTTGTGTTTTTTTTGTCTCCTACCAGAGATTAAAAATCTCTCTATAAATTCCAACTTTCCACTGGCACTTCTGCTCAGTGGATGAGACCTACCTGACCTTGCATACAGATCACCAGAAGCTCAGCAAAAGCACTATTGAGCCAAATCATCTTGTAGGAAGTCTCCAAGATAACTCCAAACTCATATGTACTTTACAGGAAGTTATTTATGGTATAAAGTACAGGCCCTATTTAAACAAGTACATCATATGCAGAAATGATTTAATGGGAATTCAGCCTCCACCCTAACTTTCCAACATTGAACTTCACATGGTATAGTACCAGATACATCACATAAATAGGCCCATTATTATAGTTTTACCATCCCATAACCTGGGGATTTATAATCCCTTCTCCATTTGACTGTAAATCTTACTAGATTTTTTTTATTTTACAGGGCTTTTTTTTTTTTTTTGGCTGGCGCTGGGTTTGAATCCAGCATATGGAGCCGGTACCCCAGTCCTTTGAGCCACAGGTGCCACCCCAAATCTTACTAGATTTTTCAAGAAGACGTGCCAAACAAGTCAGAAATTCCTGTGGCTTTTTAAGTATCTTTATTCTCTTCCTTAGGTCACTACTACCCTCATGCTCTTTAACCACAAGCCACTTCCAATGATTTCAATGAATCTTCTATCACCCAGCAATCCAAGAAAGTTCATGTCAATTTTCCTTGAAAACCTTAAACCTATTACAGTTAAATAAAAGCATTTAACTGTTTGCTTCTCCTACCACACTTTATTAACTACACAGATTGGGATGAAGCCTTTCCTGGGGATGATTAAAAGAAATATCAATAATAAGGGAAATAACTGTTTTATCCACTGACGTTATTCTACATGGAAAACACAGTCATATTGCTTCCCTGATTATGGTTCAATGGCTCTCTTCCATCCACAAAATACAAAATAAAATGCCAGTCTTTCCCAGAAGATAAAAAACACCCATTGTCTGGACCTTGGCTTCAACACCAACTTCCTCTCCTGTACAGTCTCTACACAACTCCAGCCATACTGAACAATCTACATGCCCATGTACCTCCCTGCCATGGAATTTTACAACTCGGTTCCATTACACACACTGGCCCCCTACCCTGACCAGACAGCACTTCTGTTCTTCACCCTACGTGCCCTTAATAATGGAGTTTAACAATCTCCACCTTAGTGAAAACTTCGTAAATCATATAAATCACCCAGAGATTTATACTAACACTGCACCGAGTTCTTGGGGCTCTGATACTTCCTCATAATTATTTCACTACAGTAAAGGTATATTTGTTTCCTCATTTGCCTCCTTGGTAACTTCTTTTTACACACAGTTACACACACACACACTAGCATATACATATTCTTTATTACTGTAAGACATTTCAAACAAAATTATTTTTAAAATACCACGTATAGCCAGATGCTAAATAGCATACTAGTAATATCCTTATTTGGACATTAAAACATTATTTTAATTTTAAATTATACTTCACAAACTATTACAACTAGACAGAGAACATTAAGGAAATTTATTCATAAATATTTATCTGAATGTACTTTTTTCCCTGTATCATAACATTGTCCAGAAAAATTATTTTCAGAAATAATCCCAAATTTCATTTACAAATTTGGATTTGCCATTAAGGCAGTGGTTCTCAACCTTCCTAAATGCTGTGACCATTTGATACGGCTCCTCATGTTGTGGTGACCCTCAACCATAAAATTATTTTCGTTGCAACTTCATAACTGTACTTGCTATTGTTAAGAATCATAAAGTAAATATCTGACATGCAGGATGGGCTTAGGCAACTCCTGTGAAAGGGTAACTCGACCCCCAGGTTGAGAACCGCTGCATTAAGGATAGATGTAACCAACGGAATGGGAATTGTAGTGAAGCTCAAACTTCAAGAACCAAGAAAGGATCCAGGTGGAGTGTCACTTATTATTTTCATCACTGAAGAACCAGAATCCTTTTGTTGTTGCTGCTGTTGTTGAGATTTTAAACAACAGATGTATCACAATGCATAAATATATAAAAAATGTTTTAAGAGTCCTTTTTTTTTTTTTGAGGCAGAGCCTCAAGCTATCCCTCCGGTAGAGTGCTGTGGCATCACAGCTCGCAGCAATCTCCAACTCCTGGGCTCAAGCAAGTCTTCTGCCTCAGCCTCCCAAGTAGCTAGGATGACAGG